GAAAACAAAACCCCTCATTTGAAAAGATTTATGTTTATCCCCTATATTTATCCCCATACTATTTGCAATAGCCAAGATATGGAAGCAACCTAAGTGTCCATCAGTAGATGAATGGATAAAGAAGATGTGGTACATATACACAATGGAATATTATTCACCCATAAAAAGAAAAGAAATACTGACATTTGCAACAACATGGATGGATCTAGAGGGTATTATGTTCAGTGAAATAAGCCAGGTGGAGGAAAACAAATACCATGATTTCACTTATTTGTGGAATATAAAAACAAAGCAAAACAGAAGGAACAAGACAGCAATACACTCATAGATATTGAGAAGGGACTAGTGGTTGCCAAGAGTGAGAGGCTAGGGTGGGTGTTTAGGGAGGGTGAAGGGGATAAAGTGGCACAAATATTCACAATCACAATACAAGTTGATCACAGGGACTGTTGAACCACTGTGATGTACATTTTAAACCAACATGAGATTGTGTATTAATAATACTTTAATTTAAAAAAAAAGAGCAACCAAGCATGTGAAAAGCTGGGGGCAGACTCTTCTAGAAAGAGAAAGTGGTGAGTGCAAAGGCCCCAAAGAAGAAGGGGTCTGGCATGTTTGCAGGACACCAAGGCAGAGCATGAAACACAGTGACTGCTGAGGAAGGTGGAGGCAATGGGGTCCCAGGAGAGGGCTGAGAGCCCATTTCAGTCTAGGTAGTCTGGAGAAGGACTTAATATTCTTTTGAAAGTTAAAGGTCATTTAGGATCACTGAATATCAGGTGGGCTCTTTAGGTTTAGAGTTGATTCATTCAAAGTTCAGGGCCCTCTAGGGGTTTTAGAGTCACTAAGGATCATTTAGGATCTTTTATGGACATGTAGAATCATTTATTATTGTCTGGGATTTTTGAAATTTGTTTAGGATCATTTAGGGTTGATTAACAGAATTTAGGACTCTAAGAGCTATTTGTCTATCATGTCTAAATGTTTTACGTGGGGTCCTGTTTAACAGTTTAGGACTGTGGGGATTCATTTAGAATCTTTTAGCACTGTTTGTTGTGGTTTTCAAATTCAGTGCACACTGGAATGGAAAGGGGTGGTGGAAAGGGGAGGCACAATGTTAACAGCCATATCCTAGAAGAATGAAATCAGAATCTCAGTATGGAATACAGGCATCAGCATTTTTACAGCTCCCAGGGGACTGCGACACACAGCCAGGTTGAGAGTCTGTCACCTGATACTAGCTCACAACAGTGGTCCAGACACGGACCAGCAGCAGCCTCAGCAGCCCAGTAGCAGCCTCAGCACCTGAGGTCCTGTCCAAGAGCAGGCTTGCTGAATCAGGAACACAGGGGTGGAGCCCAGCAATCTGCTTTAACCCCCCAGGGGGTTCTGGTGCTCCCTGAAGTTCAAAACCAGTGGCATGTGCTTTATAAGGGTCTTCAGGGTCTTTGAGGTGTTAAAGGGTGGGGAGATTCTAAGGGCATTTTAGGATACTGAGGGTCATTTGGGTTATTTTAGGGTTGTTTATTGTTGGCTTACTGTGTGTACCTTTGTAGGGTACTGGTAGATGCCTTCGTTTTTAAATTAGGTTTCTTTGATAATTATCTGAGTCAGTCCAGAAATAATCTTCACTGCCTGGACATCTTTCCTAAAACCCCAGGAAAAAGTGAGCCCATGCTCTGTGGGGCCGTAGGTCAGAGCAGTTCCCAAGGGAGGACAGGGAAATAGGGAGTGTCCGTGTGCAGGGGGAGGGGACCGGCAAAGCACACATTTATCTAGAATCCACCAAACAAGGCCTTGGTGAACCCATCAGGATTTGTTACAGTACCCAATTCTTAACAAAGAGAACTTCAGAATGTAAGAAACTGAAAGCTCAACAGCCTGACGGCATATTCTGGCTAACTCCAGAATTTTTAATAGGGATTTTTTTTTCTCCTTTTGAAGGCTTTTGCTTTCCAATTCCTGAAAGGAGCATTGAGAACACACTTAGGAAGTGAGTTTGGTGTCTGGGGTGACAGCCTAAACACCGGGAATTCCTCAGTGTCTCACTGGAGCCTCCGTCCTTCAGGCTCCTGCACCCTGAGACATTAGGGCGCCTAATTTTCTCAAAAAGCCTCAACACTGTGGTGTGTCCTTCCATTCTGGTGCGTGCATGTGTGTGTGAACGCGTTACACACTCACACGCCTACGGTTTGGGCATATAAGGACTGCATTTCAATTGCACGATAGGCCTCCCATTACAACAGAGCTTTTGAAGTCTTGTACTTGGAGAAAACAGCAGGTAGATGAGGGTCTGGCTGGCTTTAGTCTCCTGGCCAGTTTTTATTTTCGTGTTTTTGCCTCTGTATGTGCTTTTGGACCCCCAATAGTTTTGGACACACTAAACAGGAAATTTTAAACTAAAAGCCAATGTAATAGAAATCAAAGGAAAACATAATCCCACCACTCCAAGGTAACTTTTCTTATAAGCCTTTATATGTAGGTCTGCTACCACTGAACATACTATCTTATTCACTTCACGTAATCATGTGTCTACATAAGCTTTATGTCCACTTCTAATGGCTGCATAATACTGATGTTTATGGTATTTTACCTGTAGTATCATAGAAGGAAGGAAAAAAGGAAGAAAAAGTCCTACTTAGCTATTTTTTTTTAATTGGGGTGTACCTATTTGGGTTTTTATTGTGATTACTTAGATGAATTTGGGGAGAATTGCCATCTTTCCAATCCATAAATGAGGGATACCTTTCCATTTTCAAATTTTATTTTCTAATCTTTTATTGCTGATACACAGAAATAAAACTGGTATGTAGTCACATTGTTTGAGCAACTTTCAAAATTCACTTTGTATTTCTAAACAATTTCTAGATTATTATGACCATTTTAAACTCAACTTTTACTTGTTGGTTTCTTTTAATGGGTCATGGATGGTGGTTTGCTCTTTTTGCTTAGTTATCTCAAGAGCTTTTGGCCAACTACTTACACTGACTTGCAACAACTTGTGGTATAGCCAAAGTTTGGTTAAAGAAGTTGAAGAATACATTATATTTCTGTAAATATTTCTCTGACCTTTAGAATCTTTCCTTGGGATTTGTTTTGGGTTCAAGGTTTTTATAGCCCCCGACATTCCATACTGGCTATGTGTAGGAGTTCTCATCAGCAGTCTGTTCTCAAAATTATAGCCCAGATATCTCTGAGATATAATTACTTTCCATTAGCAAGACAGACCTCCATTGTCCTGTTCCTTCTGTTGCAAACTCTGGCACCAGCCACCCTCCCTGGAGCCCGGGTTTCTCTCAGTGGAGAATTTTGTAGGAGACCCAAACCTATAAAGTCCTTACCAATGCGCCCTGAGTGTGAACACTTCTGTAATTAACCTGTATACTTATAAAGTATATACTTACTACTTAAAGTTAACTTACATGCTTCTATAACATATATACTTAAATCATAGATATTCATTTCCATTTCACATGGTTTTAAAATGAAAAGAGCAATGTCAACTTTACCCAAGTTCAATTTTCAGTAGGCTTGTTTGCATCTAAGCATCTCAGCAAAACCTATTTAAATGTATCCAAAACTTCACAGTAAAGTCTCGTGTTCACAGCAAACTCCATTTAGTAATACCTTCATTCTCTAACATAGACAATACCAAATTATTTCATAAAATATGTTTCCATAAAGCAAGTCAAGAGCTGCCGGCTCCTTTGGCAAAAGGCTATTAACTATTTGTTGAGTGATTTTAGGCACTTTAACTTCTGTAACGCTGACTGCCTGATTTGGAGTCTTAGCAGGCCCCTAAACAGACCATTTATCTTTTGTCTCTGTCGCCTACATGCTGGACACTACAAAAACCTCACTGCCTTGGAAGAGTTAACTGTCTGCTTGTCTATTTCACCCAGCTTAGTTAATTCAGCAGCTAAAAGGCAATTGCTTGGAGTGAAAACTCTAAATACAAAAAGTCAAAACAACACTTAAAGGGAACAGTGATCCATCCAAATTTTTATCTTTTAAAAAAAAGATAAGTACCATTTGGGGGCATTGTCAAAACTTGTCTTGGTTGTTACCTTTGTCTCTCTAAAAAAACGATGTCACGATTTATGATCCTAGGAAGACAATCATCAGTCAGATATTCAAACCTTATGAACCAACTACACAACCCCTCTGTGTTAGAATTGTCCAGAAAAACAGGACCAATTGGATGTGTATATAGAGAGATTTATTTTATGGAATTAGTTCATGCAATTGTGGGGTCTGACAAGTCCAAAACCTACAAGGTTGGCTGGCAGTCTAGAGACCCAGGAAGAGCCAGTGTCTCAGCTCAAGTCCAAAGAATTCTCTTTCCCTCACAAGAGGCAGTATTTTTCTCGTAAGGCCTTCAACTGATTGGATAAGGCCCACCCACTATGGAAGGTAATCTGCTTTAATCAAAGTCTACTGAGGTAAATGATAATCTAAAAAGTATTTTACAACAACTAGACTTTGACCAAATATCTGAATTGACACAAGTTGACACAAAATTCACCATCAAATTTTCACTGCACCATAGGGTGGAACTTAGATGCTAGTCTGAGGTCTTACATTTGGTGATCCCTGGGGGCTGCCTCCAACTCAGGCAGACCAGGTCCCCACACTCCCACAGGATGGCTTAGCTATTTTACAGATGAGGAAACCAAGTTCTAGAAAAAGGTTCAATGAATTGGTCCCAGGCTTGTAACAAGAGCCAGGCATAGAGACAAAGATCTGGCCTCACTGAATGGTAGTTCCCAGCTCTTTCCACCACAGCTCTTGGCTGCACCAGGACCTGAACTCAAGACTCATAGGGGACAACCTCATTTCACTTTCTGTGTAGAAGATTACAGCAAGTCTCAGCTTATTCAAACCATAAACTCTGATGGAAGAGCATCACCTTATCTCCTGGATGTACCCTCACATTCCTATCCCCATCCGTCCCGCAACACGAGCTCGCCATCCAGCAGACACACAGAGATCCAAGCACGGGGGTTTGAAAAGTGCTTTATTTCAACAAGATCTAAGTCAGGTGCATTAAAACATCAAAATGTTACAGAAATGTATGGCTCCCTACTGAGGCCTTGTCAAATTAGGATGGATCCGTTTCTAACTTTAGAACCAAACATTGAACCAAGTCATGTACCATTGCGGAAAGGCAAGTCATGATTAGGAAAAGAGTACTTCACAAAGCTAAAACAAGTGGGGAAACCCTTAAGAAATACTAGTAGTAACACACCAGAAACCATCCACCTGGGAACCAGGCCTGCAATCTGCCGGGAAGGCTCAAAGGGTAAACCGATGCTTTCCCTTCAGTTTGTGTCTTGTGCTTGGTGAAAACACAAGGATGCTGTAACCCCCCGTGACAGGGTAAAAACACTTTTAATTCTATCTAAAGAAGGGGTGCCACATCCGTTTCTATTTCTGCCTCTCTAGAAAATCATTTCTCATTTCATCTGACTCAAGCAAGACTCCAAAATGTGTGCTCCTGCATTAAGGAAGCCTGGGGAGATTTCAGGAGCCCCCACATCATGGTTTGGTCATGGAGACACTGCAATTCACTTGTTATATAGAAATTTCTCTCTTGGAGATATGGCACCATGTTCTCCATGCTACGGAGCTTTTAAATCACTTTTTTTTCTATAAGGAGAAATTCCCTTAAAGGCTTCTTGCCCTTTTCTTTCTAACTCTCCTCTCTGAAATAACCACTCAGCTCCACAAGAGGATTCTTGCCAAGCCATTTTTGCATCTGAGAACAGATTTTTTTTTCTTTTTGTCATTATATGCCAAAGTCCTATCTATACTGATGATAAAATGTCTTTATTTGGAGATCTCAAAGAGAAACTATTGTTTTCTTTTTGGTAGAGAGGAGGGAAGGGTGAAAATATTTCTCCTTGAAATCTCAGGCCAAAACCTCAACTTCAGGCCTCAGCATTTTTCATGTGGGTGGGAGGCTAATCCGAGATCCTCTCCCATCAACCTCCAAAGTCCACGCGGCCCAGAGACCAGTGTGCACACTCCTCACCAGCAGACACAGGAGAGCCCACACAGGTCTGCGGGTTGCTTGTGCTTTTCAGCCCCACCCCAGTGGACCCCCTCCCCTACTTAACTATCACCTTCCTACTCGGGTGATAGCCAAGCATGTGCCCTTGTGCTTCATTCCACCGTCACCTGGGAGAACAGGCGCCCCTCCCAGCCAAACGGACTCCAGCTTTTCCTTCATTTGATCCCCTTGTAACATAAGCCCCTGGAACAAGAAAGCCAGATGTGGCTCTATTGCTTTTCACAAGTCAGGAAAAACCTATAAATTGGCCTTTTGTTCCTCACACGATTTCAGGTTCATTGCACACAGTTACATAAACCCACGCAAATCGGTGGAGGGGTTCGAAGCTGCAAGGCCATGTGATACCAGTGAGAAAATCCAGCTCCACACCTTGGCAGTGTCTCTGTTTCAGCCACTGCCGTCTCAAAGAACCTTTCCAAAATTCCTGATTGTTATTAGGATGTGAGAAATGATCTCTAACTGGGGTGAGCCAAAGTGGAAAAGTGTGGCCTGCATTAAGTATTTGTAAGATGGGATTTTCCCCTCACTTCCACACCAACACCCCATCTCTAAAAAGCCAAGTCTACCTTAGCATCACTTTCTTAGGAAGTGATCTGGCAAACCTGATCTTTTACAACATTTCCATATTTAACACTATCAGAGTGGTAGTGCAAATTAAAGAGAAATTTGAAAAAACAGAAAAAGCTGTCCAATAACAGTGGTTAATAACTTGCTTTGTGGACCCCCAAGGAGAATTATTAGAGCCAACAAAGGCTTTGAACATTCAAAATAAATATAACTGGAAGAGAAGTTTCCCAAGTCATTTTCTCAAATGCAAAACTCAGGAAGCAAGTTTGCATTCAAAGAACTGCTCTTTCCAATCCGTAACAAAGATAACCTCTCCCCCAACCCCCAGTTTTCTCTGTTCATTTTGCAGAAGCCTGCCGAGGTGCATGGTTGAAAAAAAGGCCCTCTGGATTTCCAGTCCATGTGGGGGCTGGCAGCACTGTCCCCGCAGAGGCCGGCTTGCTAGGAGACCCCGGGCAAGATGCCAGCTGGCAGCCTGCCATCTTTTTGAAAGTCAACAATGAAACCACAGCTGTGAGCCATCTAAAGAAGCTGTGGAAACCACCAGGTGGGCAGGGGGCAGGAGGGGCCCCAGGGTGGGCCCAGTTCTTCTGCAGAGGTCTGCCTTCCTTAACGGCACTGCACACATTAGTGGCTGTCCTTTCCACAAGTGCTCAGTGCTCCAAATCTTCCTTGGGGAGGAGGTGCGGGATGGGGGTGTCCCTACCCCAACAAGGCTCAGACATCTCCTGTTTGGAGCTCCTGGCCTGGCTTGGTTCATGTCCACAGTCAGGCTTCCTGCTCCAAGCATCCGTCTCTCCCTCTGCAAACTGCATCAGTCACTCTGGTGCCCAGCTACCTCACGGTCTTCCCAAGAGGGGCCACAGGGGACAGACTGTCCCTGCCCTTTTTCCCCACTGGGGTCTGCTCTAAAGATTGCCCATGTGGCTGAGACAGAAGCTCCATCCTCCCTGTGCACCTTCACAGGGCAGCCCAAAGGCTTCCCGGAACCCCACGCTCAGTCAGTAGCAGAACAAGACCTAGTTCTTGGAGTCCATCACCATGCACGAGGCCAAGACAATGGGCAATAATCCAGTGGCTGAAAAAATAAAGCCTTGACTCCAAACACATAGCCTCAGCTATGTGCAGGAAGACCCCTTGAGGATGTGAAAATGGGCTGGTATCACAGACCCCTGCCATTTCTGCAAGGAGCCTCTACATTTCCCCAGAGGGAAACTCCCTAGCCTCCATCTCAGAACAAGGCCAAGCCCTAGCTATGCTAGCCGGTCAGTGCCAGGTACAAACCAGTGAGACATATTTCATGAGACCCTTCCTTCAACTGAAGGAGGCACCGAAGAGGTGGGGTCTGCAGCTTGCTGGGCTGAAACATCAGCTTCCCTTTCTGTCCCCTTGAGGTGGCCATGGAAGTGGGGAAGGAGGCAGACCCCACACAGACCCTCACATATATCTTTGTTATTTAAAACAATCAGAGTTTCCAGTGTAAAAACTTGTGGGCTTATTGCATCTACCCCAGGATGGATCTCTTTCCACTGGACCTGCCCCAAGAGCATGGCTATCATTTTGCTACTCCCCAAGTATCTCTCACATTCTCCCATCCTTGTAGACACCTTACCCTTCTAAAGAGGGGCAGATATGTGTGGCTGCTCCTTGGAACTTGAGGGGATAAATCTTTTCTTAAGCCTAAAGCTCCTCAGATCGGTGACTGCCCTGACTTTCCTGGCCATGAGCAGCACATCTGCTAGCCTCATGGCACGTGTGCTGATTGCTGGGAATTTAACTGCATGTGAAAATACCAGGTAGGCACGTGGTTATATGCTCTGTGCACACACTCTCACACACACACACATTTTGGGTCTTCTGTATAACAAAAATCAGAAGTCTTTGTGAATAAAGAAAAGAGTGCAGGGACTTGAGGTTGGGGAGTTGCCTGCTGGCTTCTTCATCCTGCTCGGGGCAGCCAATGGTGGCTTGGAGAAATTTACATTTAAACATATCCATGGAAGGAATGCACCCAGCTTCCTGTGCATCTTATGTCAACAGCAGCCCCTGTGGTGTCTGGGTCCCCTCCTTGTGGCTCAGATCGTTGCTGGGGTCTCAGCTATCTCCTCCAGCCTCTGCCGAATCATCAGCCGGAGCACGGTGTACCTGGGGACAGAAACAGCTGCAGTGAAGCAGCAAGGAACACATGCTTCCTGGCCATCCTGCCCCGCCACTCGGTCTCCGTGTGGGCTGCCAGTCTTGTCCCTTTGCTACTGTTATGGGCCTGCTCTTCGGCCACTTTATCATTCTATTCATTTCCACAGCAGGATGAGAAGGACTAAGAGACGAGGTCAAACGAGATTATTTTACTATAGTTAGAAAGTCTGGCAAAAGATGGATCAGAGGTGGAAATAGCAATACCAATGAGGGCTCCATGAAGTGAGTGCTTGCTCTGCCCAAGCACCGTGGTGGTACTGTACATGCACAGTAATTACAGAGGCCTGTAATCCTCACTGAGGCCGGACCATATGAAACTGCCATTATTTGACCATTTGGCAGAGGGTAGGAGAGGGTACAAAAACGGCCATGTCACATGGTTCAACTTGATATCAGTACCTGCATTTTGCAGAAGAGGCCTTAGCAATGACCAGGAGTGGAGGTCCATGGCTTGTTGGTGAGAACAATATCCCCAACCCCTCCCTGAACTATGGCAGAGCAGATACTCTAGTGGGTCTGCTGGTGGCTAAAGGGAACATTCCTTATGTTCAGGGCTTTGCAATGCACAGCAAGAGCTATTTTTAAAGTCTGGCACAGGGTGAGTCATTCAGTAACTGTTAACCGCTATTGCACAATCTACTATCATTGATACAGCAACTATGACATTGGTTGTATTCTCCTGTGGCAAATAACAATCAATTGTTCTGCTATATCCGTGAAACGTTGTCTCCTTTATGACTAAACATGGCCAGAAAATTGTAAAATCATCCCCAGAGAAAAACTGCTGGACTTTTCAACCCAAACCAATTTTTAGGAGAGAAATGTTAAAAAGGGTGGAAGCATACAAGGAAAGGCGTTTACAGGTAGATTGCTCTGACTTCTATTAAAACAATCTTCCTGAAATCTCTAGAACAGTTTTATGTCCCACATCAAAACGAGAAGCTGACATGAGAAGCAAAGACAGAAACACACTTCAGTTTTGCATTCCCATCTGAGATCCAGAGTCATGAATGGGAAGCCCCCTGAAGGCCCGGAAGGCTTGGGCCCATGCAGAGGCTCAGCATGGCCCCTGCAAGGCACCTGAATGGGGAGCGCTCTCACTGAGGCCTAGAGAGCCCCACCTGCACCCCCAGGAGCCACGCTTACTTGCGCATCAACTTCTTCACTTCCCGGTCTTCTTCTTCTTGGAGCTTCTGAATGAAGCTTTTAAGGACAGGCATCTCGAACTTTATATACTGGGCTACCTGGGGAGGAAGAGGGAAGCCTGAGATGCATGCCTGCCTGCTCCCTCCTGGCATCATTCCTGTCCCCTCTGGTGTCCTTGTCATGGATGGGAAAAACTTTCTTTCTGTACCAATCCAGGGTTCCTTAAAGGCAGGAGCCAAGCTTCATTCTCCTCATTTAGGCTGGTACAGAGTCTGTAATGAAGACTGCTTCGTTCACATGACTCGAATGTCATAATTTCTCATTTGTCATCTCATGTGAACAGTTCATGATGAGGGGATGGCAAATGTGAAAAGCACCTTCTCTTGGTTCAGTGGAAGACTTGGATCTGTGATATGCAATACACCTCTCTGTCCTCCCTTAAGAGAATTTAAAGAACCCTGGCTCAGAATGATGATTTGGGTCTCAAGTCTCAAAGAGGCGTCCAAATGTGAACTTGTTCCTGAGAGGGTAGGACTGGGGTGGGGAGATCCCAGGTGAGCCGAAATTAAACCACTCCCCCTCCCCTACTAGAATCCACACCCTCCTCCTCTGACAACTCTCCTCCATGGGAGAAGTGTCTTTCTCCACCATATTAATGTTGAACTTGGCTGTGACTTGCTTTTGGTCAATGGAATGTGTGTGGACATGAAATACATCACATATGAGTGGAGGCTTCAAATGAGCTTACATGGTTTGGCCTGGTTTCTTGCACTCCAGCCACCTGCCATAAGAAGCATATGTCAAGTAGCCCACTGCCCCTTGAGCCTGGGTCTCTGAATGAGATATGCAATGTATACCTGAACTCAACCCATAGCCTAGAACAGAGCTGTTGCTAACAGCCTGTAGGATCCTGAGCAAGAAAGTAAATGTTTGCTGTTGTAAGCAACTTAGACTTACAATGTTACTGTAGCAAAAGCTGACTAATACATAAGAGAAGAAAAAGTCATTGCTAACTTCTTGAAGTTGCTAAGAAAGGGTTTGCAGAAACTTCTCACCCTTCTTACAGTACCCCAGAAAGGCTCAAGGCCTAAATTCCTCCTATGGAAATCACTTTGTGCCTGAGCATTCCTCCAGTAACTCCCATAGGGCATATACTTTCAACCTAGCCTCTGGGTTCATTCTTCCAGCCTCTTGGCCATTACTGCTTCAAGAAAACCTAATACTGGGGAATGGCAACATAACAGGGCATGGTCCTTGGCCAAAAAGTCAAGCTGTATCCCAGTTGCAGGTAACCTAATCAAATCCACTCCCCCACTCCCCACCTCCACCCACCCAGGACACACCATCTGACCAAAAGGGGACTCACATCATAAGTGACTTCCTCCACCTGGTCCTTCTCCATAAGGAACACTTTGGAGACCTGCTCACATGGGCCCTGGAGGATTCGGGCAATCAGCGGGTAATCCGTGTTCTTCAGCTTCTGTTTCTCTGGAACCACACACAGCCAAGAGCAGCCCTGAGTTTGGCCCAAGGCCTTTCTCACCATACATAGTAGTCAACCCTGGGGCCCAAATGGACGAGGCACCTGAGGAGATGCGGCCATACAAGTCAGGAGATTGATTTATAAGTGAAGAATTCTTATTCAAAGCAACTGCTCCCTCTCCCCTCTTCCTAACAATACTACCATGCCTCATACCCACTGGAAGATGCTACATTGAAGGGAGTGGTTTTATCTGTCTCTTGAGAAAATCCAGCTCCTTTTTTAATATGCAGTTAAGTTTTAGTGTTTGGTTACTGACCATAAGTGGCCTTCCCCAGTGGACTCATCCGTAGGCCCACCAGCCTTGGAGGCAAACAACATCTGGAGGGTTCCAAAGCCAAAACAACAAGTGAATGAGGCAGAGGTTTTTTTTTTTTAATTTGCTATTTTGAGTTAAGTTAATAACTTAAAGTACACTGTGTTCTTCAGACTTACCACCACTAGTATGGACCACATACAAAGCAAACTCCTCCGCTGAATTCTCAATCTGAATCAGAAGCAAAAGATACTTGCTGAAAGCATGTATTTACACATCCTAACTCTGAGCCATTCATTCTTCAACACTGCAAAGCTAAATAGATTTTAGGCTATTTGGGGAGGGGGCTATTTATCTACAACTGTCAGAAGTGATGAGATGGGGCAGGCGAGTGAGTTTGTCAGCAACAGACAATAAGAGCTAACCTTTATTGCACCAGGCCAAGCATGGCTCTACACACTTCACATTTCAACTCATCTACTACAACAGCCCTGCAACAGGGTCCCATTACCCACATTTTACAGACAAGGAAGCAAATGCACTGGGAGCTTAAGTAACTTGCCCTGTGCATCCAAGCTGCAGGTGACAGGTGAGGATTTGAACCCGAGTCTGTGCCCTTGACCACTAGACACCACTGGCTTCCATTAAAAACCAGAATACCTGATCTCCAAAAGCAGGGGATTTTCTTATAAGGGGCTTATGGAAAACAGAGTAACAGGACTTTTAAAACATTCATGCATTACACATTTATACATCTATTAAAGGCTCATTTTTCAAAGTAGGTTCTCCATCTGTCTTCCAGACGTCAGTCTATATATGGTGCCCCAAGCCAGTCCTCAGGCCTGGGGGCCTTCTAGCAGCCCATAAAGCACCTGAGAGCTAGAGCTTCTCAGCATTCATTGGCACCAGAACCCCCTATAAGCCTCACCTTTGAGATTCTGACTCACCAGATCTGATTCAGGGATGGAGCCGGACAACCTGCTTTGCTAAAAGCTCCCAGATGATGCTGATGCCATGGGGTCTAAAGAGCCCAAGCCCTCCGCCCAGTGCCCCTTCCCCACACACACTCCACAGCCCCCGAGGCCCAGGTGCCACCCATCTGGGGCCAGCCAGCTGCAGAGGGAACTTGCCTTAAATTTGTTGAGCAGCAGCTTCAGGACCTGGGGGGTGGTCATCGTGCTGTTGATCCGGACGTTGGTGACAGAGCCGTAAGCCGGTGTGAACACAGATGTCTGTCAACAGAGGGCCCAGCTCAGGGTCAGTGTGGAGACAAGGATGGGCACTAAACCCCAGGTGTGTCAGCCCGTTACCTGGGGTAGAGGGCTCAGGGACAGTGTCACTCAACCTGTATGCCCTTAGGACACCTGACACCCGGCGTCAGGCTTTGATGTCAGTGCAGCCCTGGGCTTTGCCTGCCTCAGGAGCTATGCCACCCTCTGCCCTGAGAAGCAGGCAGGACTCACCCAGCAGCAGGGCTGGGAGGACTAGGACCAGGTAAGAAGTCTGCTCACCAAATAAAACACGCGCATGGCCTGTTCCACTGCAACTTCAACACAAGGCCTCTGAGCGCTCTGCTATGGGCGTACTTGCTCTGGGGCTGGATTCGAACCAGGCAGCAGGAGGAAAGGCCGGTCAGCTAGCATTGCGTGGGGCAGGTGGGGCGCTGACAGCCCCGGAGCTGAGTCACAGCTCTGCCTCAGGGGTAGCACTTGGCTCACAGAAAGTCAACTGCGCAGAGCTGGGAGGCAGCAAGAGGGCAATGTGGATTTGCAAGGGGCGGGGGTCTGAAGAGGGGTGTTTGTGGGGCCGTCTCATCAACCACCCTAGGGGGCTCCTGATCTGGGGTCCCTCCTCTCTCACAGAGCCAGCAGAGCCTGCGGCCCACCCACAACGAAGACAGAATGGCTAACACTTGGCTTCTCAGGTGTGTGTGGCCCTGAGGTGGCAGCTGCCCAAGAAGGCACTTTGCCCCTGTGGGGCTGCTCCCTGCCCCCTGACACTCTGTCCCCTCTACCTTGTGGTTGTAGAAATGGCCATTGATGGAAAAGCGGTGGCGTCTGATTCGCCGCTGGTCGCTGGGTGTCCTCACATTGCCACGGCGACGCACCCCCACATCACTACGTGTGCGCATCAGCTGCGGGGTGTCTTCCTGCAAGGGCTTCAGGCCCCTGGAGTCTAAGTGGGAAAGGAGGCATGAACTGTCTGCCTGGAACTGGGATGTGGACATTTGCACACAGTACCCTCTTTGTGGCTCACGCTACAGCACCCTCTAAGTCCCCCAAAATATATTTTATTAAAAACAGTACTTCCTGTTGGGGGAAAGCGTAATGCATAATTTACAGAGTAGCAATATAATGAAAGGTACAGAGCACAGACTTCAGAACCAGGATCTCAGGTTCAATCCCAGCTCCATCACTGCCATATATCCCTAGCCTCTCTGTGCCTCATTTTCCTCATCTATAAATAAGAGCACCCACATCATGGGATTGTTGGGAGGGTTTAAATGAGTTTATGCATGTAAAGCACATAAAACAGTGCCTGACAGAACAGGCAGGCTATAAGGACTGGCAATATATTGCAAACTAACATTATTTATAAATTACCACTGCCCATAGCTTCAGATCCAGAAATTCCACTTGAAAGAATCCTATAGGTACTGACAAATGTGTGAAAGAACATGTGTACAAGGCCACTGACTTGTCTATTATAGCAAAAGACTAGAAATGACTTAAATGTCTATCAAGAGGTAGTGATTAAATGATTGTTTTGCTATATAATGGACTATTGCACAGCTGCAAAAAGGCACAAGCTCATTATGGATTTGCATGAACAATCCTCAAGACAAACTATAGGAAAAGGGATGTGCAAAATGCTACCACTTATATAAAGAGGGAAAGGAAAGAAAGGACACCAACCAAAAGGGTACATCGGTATCATTCTTGCATTTGCTTAAAATGTTTCAGGAAGAATGCCTTCTAGAAGCAACCAGAATCTTCATGGTGAACAGCTGAGATGGGAACTTTTAATTCTTTCTTTTTAGTACCTTTAGAATCTTAGTAACCTAAATTCTTTTGAGTACCTTTAGTACCTTTGGAACTATGTGGGCTTTATTTATTCAAAGAAACAACAGTTTACAGTATCTGTTACATCAGCCTTCACACAGTTGGCTCAGACTGGGGGCTCCTCCCACCACCCACGTACCTGTGGGGCTCGCCGTCTGGTCACTCTCGGCCGGGGCATCCACCTCTGAGATCTGAATGTCGGGCATGGTGAGGGGCTTCAGGATGGTGCTGGGGGAGACGAACGACAGGGAGACTAGCTCAGCCCCTGTGGGGAGACGCCCCTACTCCTGCAAGGGGCGTGCTTTGCCTGTCCCGGGCTGCAGACCAGCTCACATCAGGTGATGAAGAAGGCAGGTGGGCTGTGCTGAGCGCCCTGTGAGGCTGGCCCAGCTCCTGCGCTGAGCGTTGGGTGAGGAGGGGGAGGTCTGGAGGGAGAAGATGCTCGTTTCTGGCATCCACAGCAAGAGAAGCACCCAACTCATCAAGCTCAGGATGGAGAACAGAAAGAACAAAACTCTGTGTGTTGCCTGCACTGAGTTTCTAAGCACATATGGGTTCTATAGCTTGTTTGGACAACCCTAGTAGTTTATTTCTCAGGACAGGATTCCAGTTCAGATCCATTTCTTTTGGAGGAGTAACTCAGAAATTGCTCTGGCATTTGAAAGGAATAGCAGGTCAATTCTGGGCAGCTTTGGAGGGGTACTGATGACAGTGCGCTGGAGAAAAGGGCCACAGGCAAGCAGCCTGAGCGGGGAACTGGTGTTGCTGTGATAACTGGCAAATAACTCCTCAAAACCAGAAAACACAATGAAAACAGTTTGGAGAAACATATCCAAAACCAACAGAGGATCTGGCCAGAAAGGAGAATCATTTAACTAGTCAGGGCCTTCCCATGGTGAGCAGAGTGTGGGCTCCTTGGGTCCCAGTGGAAATGGGACTTGTGGTCCAGGAATGATAAATATTAAAGGCAGACAATTAAAATTGAAAATCTGAAAAGAAAACCCCCTATCACAGTATAACTCGTGAACTTCAAGCCTCAGAAAGGAAATGGTCAGAGTGTCTCACGAATGGTGAACACTTGGTACCCACAGCAGTCACTTGTCCACCCCTTTGTCCAGAGACCTGTTTCTTGTCAAAGCAAAAACTGTTTTCAGCATCCTTTTTTTTTTTTTTAACTAAGGTATCATTGATAAACAATCTTATGAAGATTTTGCATGAGCAACATTGTGGTTTCAACATTCACCCATATTATCAAGTCCCCCCACACACACCCATTGCAGTCACTGTTCAGCGTAGTAAGATCTCAGCATCCTTCTTACATAGCAGTTCAGTCACCTGGGATACCTTATTTACCATTCTTGAAAATTCTCTCAAAGATTTTGCAACCAAGACCAGCTTCATTCCGCGGGGAAGAGAAAGAGAAACAAGAGTGCAGAGTGAAGGGCCCTCAGGAGGCCCAGCCAAAGGCCACACCGTCAGTGGAATTTCAGAAATCATCCCACATAGGGATGGAATGTAACCTAGTCTCAGGGTCAGGGTGGGGCTGTCCTGGAAACCAAATATCCTGAGAGCGTTGAAAGCAAAACAGAGTGAAATCAGAGGTTGGATGAAGCCGAAGACCCTCGCCCTGGTGTCCCAGCATGCTATGGAAAGGACACAGACTTTCCTTCTCAAATTCACTTGCAAAGAAACTAGATCAGCTCCAGGCTTTGGCCACAGTGTAGATTTTTCTCGATTTTAGATTTGCCTGTGGAGTTTAAAATGTCCAATGTGGCCAAAAGAGACGGCTTGGTTCTCATTTAAAACAAAAAAATCACTGCGGTTTTGGCTGAGAGGTCAGCACTCTCCAGCCTGTCCTGGCCCCAAGGCAGCCAGCATCAGCAGGCTTCAGGATGGAGGAGGGCCAGTCACCTGACCCCCCAAACTGACATCTTGGGAAGACAGTAAAGAGGGTGTGCCTCGCTAGATGCCTTGGTCCAGCCATTTGGCAGCAGAGGGAGGGGAAGAACAGGCTTGGTCTCCATGGACCTTCCAGTGGGGACTTCCAGAGCAGGGGGCCTCCCAGACCAACGATCATGCCACCGCCAGCTCCAGGCGAGCCCTGAAGGGAGTAGAAGCCTGGCTGACTTCACTGGGCTCAGACACAGCCTGTTACCCCTTTCCCTTTTCAGGTTCCCCCATGACATGGAGCTTTGGACAGAAGATTCAAGCCCTAATGTCTCCAGAGTGGGGTCACTCTGTGAAAAGCGGTCCTGGTGGGCAGGACACTGGGGCATTGGAAGTCCTGTCGGAACCTGCAGGCGAGGCCTGGCTGGCCCTTAGCGATGCCCCTGAGAAGCTCCGGGATTCCCCAGGAGGGTGACATGCTGCTCACCAGGGCCTGGTGCTTTCCCCCTCTGACTCAGTAGCCACCCTCTGCACTCTGACCCTGGCTCAGTGACTGTGATGACAGGCACGGAGGCCTGATCCCACCAGCGTCTGCCCCCTTCTCTACATCCCAAGCCCAAGCAGTGGGAGGGGGAGGGGGGCGCACAGGAGCTGAGGCCAAGGCTTGCTGGAAGAATGTGGCATTTACCTGCTCACAAACACACAGCAACCCCCAGACACACCCAGCTAGCCATCCCCACCCCACATCCCATCTCTCCACACTCACCCCTGAGCCCCCAAGTTACAGCCGGAGTGCCAGGAGGAGGAGGAGGGAGGGGGGCGTATGCGCTCATTGTCATCCTGCATCTGCAGACGAATGGGCCGGCGCAGCCCCCAGGAGATGTTCAGCAGCCCCTCCACGATGAACTCATCTTCTTCCTGTCCACAAAACAGCCAGCACAGTGAGCCCGGAAAGCCCTGCTGAAGCCAGTACCATGCTGGGGGACAACTGACAGCATCCTGGATGTGTGCCAGCTGGGTGCACCCACATTGTATTCACATGCCAGCTCCAAGACACATCCCACTGTAACTGACTCCTGAGGTTCTGAAGCTGACCTCAGCATCCTTCTTAACACAGGTCAGCACAAAAGTTACCTCAAAATGCAAGTATACATGTGCAAACTGTAAAAACGTTTTATACTAATGACTTTAAAGAAAGGAGAACACATATATTAAAATACTAAATAAGACTAGCCTCACTAAAAGAAGCAAGAGCCAAGTTGTTGAATTAGTCACTTTCCTCTCCCCTAAGATGCAAAGTGGTGTGTGTTTAGCAATAATATATGTTTAGCAATCTGACCCTCTGGCTGAAGGAGATTTAAAGTAATATTTCCCCAAGTTCATTCTACTGCATGCTAGCTCCTCAGATCAATTGTTACCTTAAAAAGGGTGTTGAGTGATCATGAGGTGGGAGACGATCTATTAATCAGATTTCTTAACAGCAGAACTTTCCAGAGCCTATAATTAGCCGATGTACTATATTACAACTCTCCAAGGGGTGAGTAAGTCCTGCAAGGATTCCAATTTATACTCAATGGTTGCTGACCAATAAGAAGTTAAATGAGAAACCTTTCTAAGGCCATTTGTATGTTTTATACCAAAGAAATGGATCTCCTTTATGACCATGAAACCCTTTTATCATCAAGAATTTTGAGAATTTATTCTATAGGACACACCCCAGAAAAGCTGTTTAAGGACCAAAATCTTGCTAATGGCCCAGCTACTAATTAGTAGATTGGCAGACAGTACCTCAAAGGGTCAGGCCTTCTTTCCTGAGTCTCAGAAAAACCCTTCTGAACCTATGTTTTATGGGCAGGGCCCACAGGCATGGGACCAGGGCCATGGCCACATCTTCAGGAAAAGCCCTATGGATGAAGAAGATACCTGTCCAGTGAACAGCTCACCTGGGCCCCTGGATCATCCTTAGCAAGGGAGGGGGGAACAACTTTAGAGCATTTGGAGTCTTATATTTAAGCACAGGCTACATATATGGCCTTCTAGCTGGTCAAGGCTGTCATCATTACTTTACACCAAATGATTGTAGAATAGAATTTAACCCAAAGTAGGATTTTGCCAAGTGATGGGTTTGAGGGACACAGAGAAGGTCACTGCATCCATACTACTCCCAACCAATCTGCCCACGTAGCTGAAATTTTACCATCTAATATCTGTTTCTATGAACTAACTCACTGTGCCTTAACCTGAAAATGTGTTTAGAAGGATACTACACATGCCTTATCAGTCAAGGACACTTGAGTATAAATTACTCTACCAGGCTCCTATATAACTCATCACCTACTGATAACAGGATTTACAGAAATGGATACAGGATGAGTAAGCTTAGATTCAGGATGGGGGTGGGGGAGTGACTGGCAGATGACAAAGGGCATTCCAGGAAGGCACCCTGGGGAGACTGCTGCAGCTGTGGGCAAGGGCCAGAGTGACCACACGAAACTTAAGTGCCTTGCCCAGGTTGCTGCAGCAACAGGGCATGGGCCCAGATGTGTGAACATGAAGGGCTGGGTAAGGTTCCTGAATTGCCTGAGAAGCAGAAGCCTGCTGGGGAGCCATCTGAAAGGGTTCATTTCATGAAGCTTCCCTTGGAGGAACCCCACCCTGAGGCTGGAGCTAGCCCTGCCACACATCCACGGGAACATTCTGGAACAGAAAAGGTCATCCTTTTTAAAACAAAACTAAGCCTGGGATTGCCTTCCAAAAAACTCCAGGACTCCCCCTAACACCCCAAATGAGAGGCCACTCACTGTGGCACAGGAGCAGGAACCTGTAGACCCCGGAGACCTGGAGGCAAAGACTGGGCTGGGCTAGCCCACCAGGGAAGGAGTCTCATGGCCTTCCCTGGGGACTCCTTACCTCACGGTGTCGGAGCTGCAAATTCTGGCCTTCATAGTACAAGTTGTAGGTCTTCAGATGCAGGAGAAGTTCATTCCTTAGGGCAAAAACATAAGAGGTGTAACATTTTCAGCTGCAACTGCTTATAATGCAGCTATTGCCTTTTTCTTGCCTTTAACCTGGCATTCCATCACCCCCACCTGGGAGTTTGGACACACATGCAGAGTTCTGCCCCACCCCCAAGGGTCAACACCACCTGGAACAGACTGAATATAAGGAGCAAGGCTGGAACACCAGGGCAGGCCTTGTCTGCTGAGAGGGCCGTGGCTCTCACAGCACTCCCCAGACCCACGCTGAATAAACAGTCCTCATAGTCAGAAACTGACAGAGGCAAACCTACTCCAAAGCCCACAGAAAGGCTTTTTCTGGTCTCTCGCAGCCTTTCCTCCCCCATGCGTGCTGTGAGTTAGGACAGGACAGTCGTGACAGGCCTTCATGAGACTCAGAAACTTCTGGGCTCTTCAGAGAGAGGTTAAAAGGGACAAGTCTGGGCCCCACTCACTTACGCTTCATAAACATGACCTTATCATGTGTTTAAAAATTCCCATAGATGGTAATGGACAAATGAAGGGGGCTGTAGCCACCAATGGACTCTTACACAGCAATGAGAATATGAATGAGCTACCCACACCATGGATGAATCTCACAGGTATTATGTTGAGTAAGAGAAACCAGATGCAAAAGAGCACACATTGTATGACTCCCCACTTATGTAAAGTTCAGAATGGGTGTTAGGATTCAGGATAGGGGTTTACTTTGGGGAGTCATGACTGGAAGTGGGCATAAAGGGGCTTCTAGGCCTTGGTTACATTCTACTCTAGGGGCTTTTATCTTTTTATTCCATTCCAAGTGCTTTTAGTTTATTAAACAAAAATTTTTTTTCACTTAACATTTCTTATCCCACCCCTCTGGAGCCTAGTATCAGGCCTCCTTAGCTGCTAAATGCTGGTTTCCAGATGGTGCCCCAGGAGCACAGCGCTACTGAATGAACATGGGAGAGAGGACTTCAGGGTGACCCCTCACCAAACCTGAGAGCGGTCTGCTCAAGTTTTATCTAAAAGTGCGTGGCAGTGTGTGAGGGCTAGGAGGGGGAAAGTTTGGAGGAGCCGCTGTATGCTTTTGCCTATTCTCAGGCAGGAGGCCTGAGTTCAGTCCCTCTAAATTCAATGGAGAGATCTGGGGCCATGCCAGAAGTCAAAGCTGGCTGGAATTTGTAAGAAGCTCCTGACAAGTTAAACCTAGATAAATTCGAGTAATTCTATGCAAGCCAGAATGAATTAGTAAAAAGTATGGCTCCAAATAACTGAAAACAAAGGCTACCTGGCGCTTTTAAACACACAGATCTGAAACTAGGATTCAGAAGTACTGGTCAGTAGAAGTCCCTGGGGAAATCCTTTAATGAAGAGATAAGAAAGATTTTGTACAACTATGTGTCTATGTATGGCCAAGCGTGTCTGAGGAAATTAAAACAATCTGGTCTCAGACAAATTAAACATTTAGTCATGATGGAGAGCATCCAGTATGAATAAATGCCAGTGCTGGATATAAAAATATTTCCTCAAACTTATAATTCAGAAAAGGCCATCTGGGCTCAGCCCCTGTCACAATGACATAAAATCTGAGTTCAAGAGATTTTAGTGCATATAAAGCAATGGAAGTGTCTCCTGTTCAAGAGGCACCTAGGCCCATTTTAGCCAGAACTCTAGCAGCACAGCGACACAAACCAGCTGGGACTCCCCAAGGGGACACTGCAGGCAGGAGGGTGAATGGCCACAGATAACTCCTCCTCCAGAACACCACCTCCTTCGAGCCCCGAAAGGTAGCCTATCTTGAAGGCCCCTTTACTTCACTCTATGGCCAGGCTCTGGGGACATGTTTTTCTCTATACCAGCAAGCTTACTGATGCCCTCCCTGGGCCACACTCTAGTGCCCAGCCCTTCCTCACACACTACAACCCCTCTCCATGCACACAGGAAGCTCGTCTGCCAGTGGCTTCCATCCACATGGGACTGACCACTGGGGACACACACTATAGAAAAACTCTTACTTGGAAATGAATTTATCTTGTCCACATGGGACTAGGGATGTTTGGTGACTGTAGTCCATTCTTCCTCTTGCTTTTCATGAGAAGGGGAGGCCTGTTTGAAAGGAGACAGAGGCTAATGTCAGGTTGTATCTTTAGGAACTCAGCAGCACTCAGGCCAGGGGACAGGGCAGCGGAGGGGAGTCAGGGGGCACACGGCTTTCTGTTCCCACGGCAGATCCACGGCATGGGCAGCCTAGTGCTGACCCGGGCTAGTGAGATACCACACTGCTGGCTGCTGCGTCTGCTCGCCAAAGCCTTTGTGACAAAAACACCTAGAGGAAAGATGACAGTCTGTGGATAGCCCCAGAACAACTGCCCCAGACACAGAGAATGCTGACACCCAAGTTGGTTTCAAGGAATGACTGACAAAGTCTTCCCAGAAGAGATCTTCATGACATAAAATAGAGACTCATCTGACTGGGAAGGCTCAGGTTCTACTCAGGTATACTAAAGATCAGTCAACCACAGAAAAATGCCCAAACAGAGCTGGACACCACAAATCACAGCACATACACCTGCAATTGCCATTAAAGTGTGATCATATGAAAGGCAATTTAATTACCTGGGAAAATGACAGTACATTATGAAAACGCAGGTTACAAAACTATGAGTCCAATTTTGTTTAAAATATAGGTAGGTGTAAAATATGCATATAAATTAATATGAATGAATATATATCCATTGTACATAAATATATGTATTCAGATATTCAGATGCATATGTGTGCTGGAGTTTTCCAATCTCAGCACTAGTGAGATTTGGGGCTAGATCATTCTTTGTTGTGGGGACTATCCCGTTCATTGGAGAATGTTTAGCAGTATGCCTGGCCTCTACCCACTAGAAGCCAGCAGCACCACTCCAGTTATAATAACCAAAAATGTCTCCCAACATTAAGTATCCCCCAGGAGCTAAACTGCCCCCAGTTGAGAACACCTGGCATATGTATATATGCATGTAAATGAATGAAAATTTGGCTCTCTGTATAATAGCATTACTGGAATTTTTAAAAAACATTTTATTAGGAGAATTTTTAAACATAACATTGAAGAAATAAGACAATGAATAGCCATGTAGCCATGGCTACTCTAACATTAACGTTTACTATCTTTACTTTATCACATAGCTTTCCATCTATATATCTTTTATCCATTCAGCAATCTACTTTATTTTTGGTGCACTTCAAAGTAAGTTATACACAAAACAAGTCTTAGCAATTCAAGAAGATTGAAATCACACCAAGTATCAAAGGAGAAATGAAAAATATCTCAAAACAAACAAAATGGAACCACAACATACCAAAAGTTACAGGATACAGCAAGAGCAGTTCTAAGAGGGAAGTTCATAGCAATACCCGCCTATACTAAGAAAAAAAATCCCAAATAAATAACCTAATTTTATACCTCAAGGAACTAGAAAAAGAACAAACTAAGCCCAAAATTAACAGAAGGAAGGAAACAACAAAAATCAGAGGAGAAATAAATGAAAGAGACAAAAAAAATTAGAAAAGATCAATGAACCTAAGAGTTTTTTTAAAAAAATGATAAGCAAAATTTTCAAACCTTTAGCTAAAATAAGAAAGGAAAAGATGAAAATAAATAAAACTGGAAATGAAAGAGGAGACATTACAACTGATACCAGAGAAACACAGAGGTTCATAAAAGATTATTATGATCAATTATTTACTAACAAATTGGATAGCCTGGAAAAAACAGATAAATCCCTAGAAACATAAAACCTACCAAGACTGAATCATGAAGAAATAGACAATCTGAATGTACTAATAATGAGTAAGATTAAATCGGTAATCACAAACCTCCCAACAAAGAAAGACCCCAGGACAAGGTGATTTCACCTTGAATCATACCAAACATTTAAAGAAAAATTAGTACCAATCATTCTCAAACTCTTTCAAAAAAGTTGGGAGGAGGGAACACTCCCAAACTCATTTTAGAAGTCCAGCATTACCCTGGTACCAAAGCCAGATAAGGTCACTAAAAGAAAACTATAAACCAATCTCCCTGATGAATATAGATGCAAAAATTCTCAAAATTCTAGCAAAGCAAATTTAACGGCACATTAAAAGGATCATACAATATGATTAAATGGGATTTAATCCCTGGGATACAAGGATGGTTCAAAATCTGCAAATCAGTAAATGTGATATATCATAGCAATAGAATGAAAGATAAAATTAGATACAGAAAAAGGATCCATGGAACCTATGAAAGTTACCTTGGATGGTAACGGGGATGTGATGTTACCTTGGCAGATTATCCTAGATTATCTGAGTGGGCCCTAAATCTAACCACAAGTGTCCTTCTATGAGAGGCAGAGGGAGATTTCTGCTATAAAAATCTCAGCAGAGAAAGCGAAATTTGAACATGCTATGGTATGGATGAAGATTGAGAAAGGGACCGTGTGCCAAGGAACCCCCCCATTACAAGTCAGAGCAGACAAGCAATGGATTTCCCCCCAGGGCCTCTGGAGGAGCACAGCCCTGCGGACACCTTGGTTGTGAGCCAGTGAACCAGTTTCAGACTTCTGGCTTCCTGAATGTTAGAGAGAAAATTTGTGTTGTTTTAACACACCAAGTCTTTGACCATTTTTTATAGCACCAATAGGAAAAGGAGGGGAGTTATGTGCAGAGGGTGTGATCTGACTTGAACTTTGGAAAGATTACCCCTCCCTCCTTCCTACTTTGAGAAAGGACTGGGGAACAGAGCAGAGGCAGGGGGGCTGGCTGAGAGGCCAGGGAAGGGGACAGTGGGGACAGAGCAACCAAGTCTAAAGAGTTTAAAGGGGTAGAGGAAAAAGTGGCAGTACATCAATAAAAAGGGTTGGAACAGGGCGCGATTTCCAATGCGGGGTTAAATGCGCAGTCCAGGATGATGGCGGGCTGTTGATGAGGACAGTGACACAGGGGTGGTGCCATATTCACATGCACTGACTTGAGGAACACAGGCTGAGTGTGAGGCACACCCATGGAACTGTGTGGTGCAGATGACAAGCAACAGGACAGTGACAGCCTGGAGCTCCCTGACTCGCTGAATGGAGGGAGGTCAGGAAAGCATAGAGGACAGGGCCAAGGGTGGGGCTCCAGTGCACCCAGTAGGTCAGGGATGGGTGGAGGGAGAGGAGTCCCTTGAAGAGGAGGGGAGATGGGAGACAAGGAAGCCAAGAGAACAGGGTGGAAAAGGAGGCTGTGGTGAGCAGAGCCAGAAGCTCTTGGTGGGAACCCAAAGAAGAGAACCAGAGCAGCCTTTGATTTGCCATATGAAGTCACACAGGACTTCAGCCAGAGCCAATTCCACAGCCTGGTTAGAGTAGAAATCAGATTAGTGGTGCCTGGCCATCAACAGACCTCATCTGAACATTCAAGTCTTTCTTCAACCAAAGAAGTGGTATTCTATTCTTTCTTTGGTTCCTGCTCCTCTCCCTTCCATTCACGGTTCTTCTGCACTTCTCCCCCCTCTCTGTAGCACTATCCATCTAGGCATCCAGCTGCCCACCCATCATTCATCTACCCATCAGCCATCCATTCACCCACCCATCCATCCATCCATCTACCCCTGCAGCCATCCTTCAAGTCTCATAGCATTTTCACTCATAACCTCCATTGCCTTATTTTCCTTAGAATTCTCCAGCTCATCTTCTAACTCAGTGACTGGATTTTCAGAAGAATTCACTCTTTTGCTCACTGCCTCCAGCATAACCTATAATTTGGTAATTTTGTTTTGTATCTGAAAGCAATCTGTCCTGCTCTTAAAACAATTCCCTTTTGATGGCATGTCCTCCTACATCTACTAAGAATGCCAATTAGAGAATTTAAGTCTTCTCTACAGTTATTAAAATGACTTGGTACCTGACAAAAAATGGGTAAGTCATTGAAACAATACAGCATACAGAAATAGACCCAAATGTATTTGGGAACACAGAATGTGGGTTGTATTTCTAAATAGTGGGTAAAAAACAGATCAATTTTTAAAATGTTGGAGAACTGACTGGCCTTTGGAAAGGGGAAGATGGAGAAAGTAAATCCCCACCTAACTCCTTCCACAAAAAGAAATCATAGATAAATACAAATTCTAATTATTAAAAAATAAAACCTGGACGGAAATGTAGGCTATATATATATATATATATATATATATATATACTTGAAGTGGGAAAATTTTTCCTATACAAGACCTAAAATCCAGAAAGCATAATAAAAAAACAAAGTGGATACCCATCTGTATAAATGTTAAGCTTTTGTTTAGGAAAAAAATTTACCCTCTCCAAAGTCAAATGGCAAATAACAAATATGGGGAAAATTCATACAATACATAAGACAAAGGCTAGTGTCCTTACATATAAAGGGCTTTAAAAAATCAATAAGAAAAAGATTCTACACCCAAAGAAAACTGAGTAAAGGACATGAACAAATAATTGATAGAAAAATAAACACAAATAGTTAATAAACCTATGAAAAGATGCTCAACCCCCATCATCACAATTTTTTTACTTACCAGGTTGATATAAATCAAGTAGTATGAGGCTCCAAATATGGGAATTCTCCTAGGTTTTGTCACTCTCTACCTGTTGGGTGATCTTACCGAGGCCAGTGCTATAAATCTGACCTATAGGCTCATGTTGCCCAGTCTTTGTCTCCAGCCCGACTTCTTCCCATCCCCTTTCATATCTTTACAGTTCTTGGATTAGTAGTGTTAGGAAAATACTTACATAGCTTACCACACTGTTGAATCAAAATTACAGGTAACTGATTCTAGGACCCAACACCTCCTTTGTCTCTCTCAAGGACAACTACATCCCCCCCACAAACTCTCTAACCATCACCCACAAATCACAAGCTACCTCCAGCCACCTTGTGAGGAAAAAAAAAAAAAAGCCAGCTAAATTTGTATACACTTCAAGGCAAACACAGCAGCAGAGCTAACAAAGGCCCAGAAACTTAGAGGTCAGCCTGATCCTCCTTAAACAGAGGATTGTTCCTCACCCAAGGAAGGAAGGGTCAGAGGAAGATGGCTGCTGGGGCTGGAATGTGGATTCAAT